CGATCCTCAGCGAAAATGCATCTCTTGTCGAGTCAGGCGCAAGCGAAGTTTCTCTTTGGCAAGAGAATTTAATTAACCGATCCGGCGCACCGCGCTCACGCGAGGAGTCATCGCGAACAAGAAGCCGATTTATCTTGTCGTTTATCCAGTCCGCCATAATCACTTGGTCGGAAAAAGGAGCGGCGGGGAGCGACGGGAAAGAGATGAAAAAAAAATCCATCATTACTGTTTCCCGCGACCGTTATTCGAAATAAAAGCACGAGCAAAAGGAGGGAGACCACGGGGATGGGAGAGACCCAAAAAGGACGATCGGGCTGAGATTCTCCGTCGAATCGGAATATAGTTCGAATCCGAGGAGTTTCTCTCGCGGTTGATGACGTGGCTCTCGTAGCGTGTTGTGACCTCCGTCGGTCTACTTTAGCCCAAGTCCTGGCGAACAGAGGAGAGAGGATTCTAACCACACGGTACACACGGATTTTATCCTTCTCGGCGTCACGTAGGCCGCTATTATGACTGGATCGATGGTGTTTATTTATGTTCCGATATATATCCTTCCTTTCTCGAGGAATCAAGAGCGTAAACGAGGTACCTAATATATCCACGAGCATCGAGCACGAGAAATACGTATACGAAGTATTTACGTATAAAGGAGAGATATAAATGTGTATTCTAACGCGGAGAAAGACGACGAGATTATTTATAAGGTAATTTATAAAATAGTAGCGGAATAATCGTTACGGAGTAGCGAGTCGGGAAAAAGGGGGGAAGGGGATACTAAAAATAATAGATTAAATTAAGCGTGGTCGATTGATTTCCGTCGTATCTTGACGCGACGTCAAACGTGACGTTTATCTTTATCGGATGTAACTCGGTGTCGCGCGCAGAGGCACGCGCGGCCGTGAGTTCAGCGTGTTGAATGCGCCGCTAAACGGAGAATACACAGAGCTGCCCGCGTACTCCACGTCATTCCAAGGATGCTGGGAATATTAATACCGTCCTAGATGGAGGCGTCTAGATCGCCCGGCGGCGCCGACGGAATAAAAAGAAGAGATTCCAGTGTCCTTCGTACTTGGCCGACCCGCGGGAGGGAGAGGGCGAGGGGGAGGGGGAGGGCGCGATCCGACACGAGATGACGAGAGAAGAGGCGAGAGAAGAGAAGCGGCAGCGTGCGACGATGTGAGCCAGATTATGAAAATCAGAACGAACGGCCTACGTCGGTGTAGGTTAGAGGCTCGTTGCGCCGCGACCGGGGCGTGTAATGATGTCACTTTTATTAGCCTCATCAGGGACACCGAGAGAGGCATCCTCCGGGGGCGGGCACTATCACCATTACCTAATATTCGACGTGATCGTGTATCTCGTTACGCCGGCAATTTGCCATCCATCGACGCGTCGTTGGGCGAGAAAGTTTTCGCGCGCCTCCCGTGAGACGACCGGTACCTGAGTGTATCTCTCGCTCTTAGAGAAAAAAATTCCCTTCCGCGATATATTTTTGGCGCGAACGAGAGAAGGGGTAGAAGAGATGCGCGAAGAAAGGAACGAGGAATCCCAACGACGAGAGGGAAGCCGACGATTATCGGCGCCATCGGTTGGCTCCGTTAATTGTATCGAAAATCGAAGAGCACGGAAAAGAAAAACAACGAAGAACAGTAAGTTAACGAACGAGTCCGAGGAAAAGTTCGAGGAGAGCCGAATCGCCAGGATTACTTCCGTGAGAAAAAAGAAAAACAGTTCTACCCTCGCTCGAGATTGCGTAACATCCTCGCCGCGAATGCGGTCGCGGTGGTAATTGTATTATGATTGTGGGAAATTTAATATTCCCTCCCCCTCCTTCGATGTGGAGCGTGGAACATTATCAATATTCATTTACACGCAATTTAATGAAGTGCCCGGTGTATTTAATGTAATATAACGCATAACGTAACGCCCGCTGTTACCGGCACGGTTTGACTCGGGGGGAGGGACTCGTCGTAGAGCGAAAAAACGGGGATCAAACGGGGAAAATCGGGGTCACTCGTTACATAGCAAATCATATTTCGTACGCTCGCGAACGTTGCACTATACACGAGGAGGCTCCTCCCATGTTCGGCCTGAAAATCGGGTTACACCCTGTGCGCTCTGACTACCTGCGATTAATTACATTGAAAGCATCCTCGCGTAATTGCACCGTGTAACACATCCGTCATTCTAACGAGCGCGCACGATCGTGCCTGCGATCGTAACGCGGTGCACTTTGAGAGAAAAGGAAAGACCTCGCACGCTTTAGACATCTTTCCGGGCGACGCCCGTTGTTCGCGAATCTTTTTAGAAAATAGCGAAAGCCGAGCGGGCGTGCGAGGCGACCGAAGGAAGGGAAAATCGCGACGGAAAGCCAGAATGGTGCGCACATTGCGCTGATTATACAGCGGGATTATGTTATTATGGGAAAAATAACAGTAGCTACGTAGCTGACGTAACGTGTGTACAGTCGTAATTTCTACACCAAACGTCAATCACACGAGCCGCCGGTAGATAGGCGAAATTATATACGACGGGTTCCGCGAAGGAGACTCGGCGAGATTAATCCGGTCTACGATCGCACGAGATAATTTCCGGGCGCGGCGCGTTTTTGCCTCTTCCGAGAGGATCAACGATGGAAATTGCCCCGCTCTTTTTTTTTTTCCCGCGGACCGTATCGGAAACGTGACATGTCGTTAGCGACGTGTCACGTCGCCGAGCTCGCTTCGCCTTGGAGAAGACGTTACTCAGCGGCATCCGTTACATATATACACGTACTGAAATGCCGCGTGCGTCACTATCGCACGATTTATAAATTGGCTTTAATGCAATAATATTAGGAATTTCGTAATCGGCCAATTGTTATCGTGGAAACTTCACGATGTATATTAATATATCGCGACTTATGTGTATGTGTGCACCACGACCTCTGGTCACGCAACGGGACACGTCCTCATCCACACGCAATACAGAGTGAGTCGAAAAAAAAAAAAAAAAAAAAAGAATGGGAGTAGAGGAAAAGAGGGGACTGGTTATCCTTGGATATTACTCCCGAAGGAGATTCGAGTTGATTGATAAAACTAGCCGGTCGCGCGCTAGAAGCGCCGTGAAAGAATTGATAAGAATATTCCGTGCCGCGCTCGTTCGCCTCCAACTCTCCCGACCTCGAGCCTATTTCTCGCGGTTTACGAATAAAAAAAAAAAAATAACAGACGTAAAAGTTACGATCGTAAATCTCCCGAAAATCGTAAAATCTCCGAGAAAAAGAGAGATAATCTCCCGTGAGATAATCTCGAGCGTGAGTCACGTCGAGACTTCGCGATCGCGAATTTTCTCTCGAGGGACGGGAGGGAACGTCGTCCCTTTTCCAGGACACTCCGTACGTCGCACGTTCCCCCGAGGCGACGAGTGAATCATCCCGCGCCGCGCACGAGCGGACGGGCACCTCTCGCGCGAGTCGAAGATAACCCGTTCCTTAATCGGCCGTGTACGCGCTTACTCGAGCGTGCGTTATCCTCGTGCACCGTGAACGGGAGAAAGGGATAGGGCCGGGGGGAGGGGGGGGGAATGGGAAAAAGAGCGACGAGGAAGTGCGCGTGTGCTAGGGGAATTTCCAAGTTCACCAGGCACCTCCATCGATCTGCCGGCTATCGGCGTTGTATAGCGGCCGGCTATCAGCCGCCGTCGTTGCTGCTGCTGCTGCTGCTGCACTTTACGTGACGCGGCGGCGTTCACTTTTATTCGATGGTAACACCGCCAGAAACCATCACCGGCCGAGCTATCGACCCCTGAACTTGACCCCCATAGAACTACCCGGTCTAAATCCCACGACTAGAGGAGGATCCGATGAGTCTACGGCGCGGCTTGGAATAACGTACTCTATGAATTCGGGAGAAGGGAAAAAAAAACAATCTTCGTATCAAAAATTCTTCGGGATTCTTCGGATCCCCCGTGGCTTCTCTCTGCGTTTTCTCCGCGTATATATATTTACGTGTACATTTCCTTTGCGCGCGTTTAATTTTTGTTTATTGTAGATATGTAGCAAGCGTTGCGCAATAAATACGGTACGCCCAGGTGTTGCCCGCGGCTGGCCGTATTGTGCGCGAATTCCCGATCTCTCTCACGATGAATGCGTTCCTTCCTCGCGAGGAGAGGGGAAACAATGAGATCCCACCCATTTTCTCTTCCTTTTTTTCTCCTCGGGATTGGTCCCCGCGGTCGCAATCGATTCTATTGATCTATTCGAATGGTCTCTATCCGCGAGGGTCGAAGAACAGCCGCGGTCGCGGAATGCTGGGGGGGGGGAGTAATTCGGTCCCTTACGGTTATCGGCCGGTTTCTCCTGCGTCACCCGAGATCGCCTGAATCCGACCTGAATCTGAGTCATCTCGTTGACATGTGCATGATACAAATATCGATTTTTCGAAAATCCTAACATCGAATGCGTACCGAAAAGGATTTGAAAAGAAAAAAGAAAACTGATGTGCCTGAAATAAGGGGTTTCGCACACATTTTCCGTAACCGTAGCCATAATTATAAGACGTACCATAAAAATTAGCTAGTCAGAGCTGAGAGTTCAAAATTATTATTTTTCTTTGATTACGGAAAGTGTATGTGTGCAGCTCTAACTTTCTCTCGAAATACGCGATATTTACACGACATTTACAAGCAGAGAAAGAGAGAACGATAATTCCAGGCGGAAAGGATATTCTCGGATACGGGACGAGAGGGCGGGAGATATGGGAGGGGAATCCTTCCGACAAGGAACTATACAACATCTTGCGTACCGAATATCCCGTTGAATCTTTAAATGGCGTTCATTGTAATGAAACTGCGTTGCACGAAATTACATGTTTCGAACAGAGCATCGAATGCTGGATCGCGCGTGGAAGAATCAGAATTCCTTCCTTTTTTCCTACGGCGAGCGATTTATATATTTTTTTATATTTCCAAAGAGAAAGAAAAGGGGAGGCGAAATCATTCGTGGCTTCTTCTATACTCACCATGGTTTCTGTCTTCGGTGTGCGTGTGCTCGTCGATATTCTACTTTAATCCAAATAACGCGCCTGAGTAGGATCACCGGAACACTGGGGATAGGGGAAGAGGAAAAAAAGTCCCTTTTCGTTTTATATCTTGTCTTGCGAGCTACGGTTTCGCGACGACGATCATTATACGGGCACGGGACGATCCCCTCTTTACTTCTCGGTCCTTCTGAATTTTCCGCGTGTCAACGATCGTATACGTAGAGAAGTATCGCTTGCGAACGCGCTACGCGGATCGGCGGCGAGCAAGTGACGTACTGAACGTAACCGAGTAACTGACGCCAGCGCGCGCGAAACGGCGAGTGCGCCTCCCCTCTATCTAACTTCACGTCGCATCGCGTCGCGTCTGTCCTTATCGCACGACCGCCGATCGCGCGTGCCCCGTCTTTCTCGCGCTCCTATTGGTCGCGTTCTCCCGTTCGGCCGCGCGCGCACCGAAAATTAACGAATCGCGAAATCAAAACTCTCCGACGGCCTGTTATTCGAAATCAAATACAGACGAAGAAAATTAATCGCGTTTTTCTCTTGTTAAAAGAAAGTTCGTCGTGAGACAATAAAAATATCTAATATAAATCCAATATGTCTAATGGTTGTTAACGATGTTTCTCATTTGCGGTCGCGTCCGTCGCTTCGCGATTACGAATTAAGCCCGTTTAATTCGAATGCGAAGGTAATCCATCGAGGTTTAGTTTCGACAGCGTAAAAGTTAGGGTGCCGCGTCCCCACGGCTCGTGGGGAGGTACGAGCCGTAATGTTTAATTCCGACGATTGTCTCCTCGAGGATTTCGCGGAGCCACCCCTGCGCGTTTTCATGCACGCTTGTCTCTGACAAGTGCTCATTCCTCAAAAAATCAGGAGGAAACATCTCAAATAGAATACTTTTAACCTTAAAAACAACCATCTGCATCGAGAAATTACTACAAATTGTGTTTGCCGCACAGATATACATTTAAATGAAATTAATCCGCGTAAAAAACGCGCGCATGTTTTTTAAAGCGACGTGCGCGCGCGCGCGCGCATGTCGTATCGACCCTTCACCATTGGATGACACATCCTCCAATGACCGGTCGACTCGGTGATTACGTCACTCGGGGGGGTATTATTGACGCCGGACGTATGCAACGGCGTCACATTGGCGAGGGCCAACCCTCTGTATCTTACGACCCCTTCGGGTCTTCCAGAGATTGCGTAATGATCCCGGTGCAAAATCGCAGCGCAGTGGTACATGTGCATTACAGACGGCGGCTGTAGATTTAATTCTTTCGGGAGAAAAACCTTATTTAGTGTTCTAATGAACGGACAAAGTTTTCTTCTGAAAGGCTTAAAGTCATTCCCCGTAAAACACGTACATCACTTCGAAAAGAAATAATCCTTTTGAGTCGCAGTCTGACCTGTAATAAAAATGAACCCCTCGGGGATTGCAGGGAGGAAGAGTGTATTACAGATGTGAAAGAGAATTTGATCACGCACTTCTTTTGTGAGACGCAAAAAAAAATTATATATTATAACATATATGTATTTTTCAAAATACAATATTATGTATATATATATATATTTTTTTTTTAGATGTTTTTTTAATTTTAATATAAAACGAGTATGAGTAAGGATCTTCGAAGGCGATTCGAGAGGGACGTCAGGTGGGAGCAAAGTGACGCAATACGGAACACGCATTGCCGTGTTTTGGCTCTTTCCTCGCTTCAATTTCAGGAATGCGATTTTTATGTTCTCTCGGCGAGCGTGCCGCGCAAACAAACCGGGCATGTCCCGCACGTCGCATAATTCTCTCACGAACATGAGAGGGAAGAAGGGATAGGGGGAGCAGATGCGTGCCCTTCCGCCTCCGAAATTAAAGTCGGGGACGAAAATTAACGTCGCCGTGCGGATGGAGACCTCAGTTGTGCGATCGATATCTTATCCATTTCAGAGGATTGGATCGTGCCATCAATTAAAACCCGATTGACACCGATTCACTTTTCGGTGCGAACATCAATATGGTGTCGTCGATAAGTCAAAACATCTAAGGGCGACTTTGAAAGACCAAACTCTGTTTAACTTGATCGACGATTAATCCCAATCGGCAAAATCGCTTGAGGGGAAACTTCTGGTTATGGAAGAGAAGAAAAGAAAGAAAAAATCCATGATGATTAATTCGTCGTTGTTTCATTAATGATCACAGTTATCTTGCGAGGCAATGGTATCTCGAAAAATTTATCACTGTAAACTTCGAAAGTTAAACACAAAAATCTTAAGTGGATCAATAAAAAAATAGAGAGATCTAGATTTTTGTGTTTAACAATATATTTCAAGAATCGAATTGGTTTCGGACAATTGTGACATCCCTTGCAAATAGAATTTCAAAGTTTAAAGTGATAAATTTTCTGAGATTTATCACCGCCTCACAAGATAACTGTAATCGTTAAAATAACAAGTAAAATAACGGCGCAATCGAAGTGATGAAACAACTTTTCAAAGATAATTATATTTGCTCTCAATCAATTACTAATGAAACGTGTGAGATGTATAGAAAAGTATTTTAGATAAAACTTTTATGATTTTTCAAGCATTTTAATTGTCTTGCATTTAAATTTTTCAAAATATCTTTATCCCTCGTTATTTTTATATTTTTACAGCTTATCTCTCATAGATGTGATTTTGTAAAATAATTTTATTATAATTTTATTATATACATATTGTAAATTTGACATAAAATTTCTTTTAATTTTTACTCTTGGAAGAAATTTAAATTTCACAAAAATAATGGAGGATAGGAATATTTTGAAAAATATTAAATTTTTGAAAAATTTAAATACATATTTATAAAATATATTAAAAAAATATATTAAAAAAACCATAAAACTTTTAAGTCCAAAATATTTATATTTTTCTATATATCTCACCGTTTCGTGATAACATTTCATGAATAATTGATTAAATATAAACGTTAGCTTTCACGGCATATTTCATCCTTTAAATCTCCAATTGGCTCGACATGAAAAAATACAGATTTTTTAAATTTTAATAACATATTTCAAGAAAAATCAATTCCAGATAAATGTGAGATTACTTGATAGTTTACACTGAACACTATGCATACTACATCTGTATTAAAAATCGATTGATATGCTCGGTATAAATACTCGCAGATTACTTTCATTTGATACTTCTGATAACAAGTATCAGACCAAGTTGATACGCGTAAACGTAGTTTGTTTTGGATCGTATTAAATCCGCCACTGCTATTAGATCCAGATTAAAGTTGAAATTAAAAGCTTTTAAATAATAGAATGATAGATGGCATTACTCGACAGAATGGAATCTTAGATGTCCTATAATTTTTCATTTTTCTTAATTGAATTTATATATATCGCGAACTAAATTCTAAATAACTAAAACTAATTAAAAGCTTTTACATTTCGAAAAACAGTGAAAATATCATGTGAAAAAAAATATAAACTAATATAACTGTTTTGAGATGGATCGGTATAAATAGGGACGTATCAAATATTCAATTCGCACCAATTTGATGCACGTATCAACCGATTTAACGGTGGAAACTAGACAATCGTTTCGTTGATAATCCGTAGTCCGTTTAAGCGACGAACTCCGGAAACGAGTCAATCGTCACGCGAGATCGATATCGTAACGATCTCGCACGGTGTTCCAGTTTCGTCGGGACGGTGGTTGTATATAATTGTCGGTCGGTGACAGTAAACGGCACAGATTGAAAATGATGATGGGCCAGCCTTCGGACATTAGCCGAGGGATGGGGGTGGGGAGGAGAAAAGGGGAGAGTAGTCGCCTGAATTAACGCGGCGTGTCGGACTTCCGTTCTGGCAAATTGGTGAACGTTCTCCGACGACTTACGAAAGATTAAATAAAGGGAGTGTGGCGTCACCGACTCGGAATTCGAATCCTGTAGTTCTCAAGTCATAGCGGTAGTAAAGCAATCTCCTCTTACATTCGCTCTCTCTCTCTCTCTCTTCCCCCCTCCACCCCCTCTTCGCCTTTTAGTCGCTCGCGTGATACAGGTCGACATTAATTTCGTTAATTTTCTAGAAAAAAGCGTAATCGCCTGTGCGCGAAACGAGAGGAGAAAGGTATAGAAGCCTTCCGGCTGGCTGGAAGCTGAGCTCGAATTCCTGCGGCGCAGAAAAGATGTATTAAAATAATATACCTTAATACCTTGATACATATAAATAATACTTTAATACATTTTATTTTTATGTACACCATGAAATAATATGATTTATCACGATTAGATTGATGAGTGGACTCTTACCGCTTCGCTATCAATGATAATAGTTACCATTAATTCGTGTTATTGTTTCTACTTTTCATTTTCTACTTTTCGCTGAGCCTAACTTAACTTTCGCTTACGTTTCCCCCTTAAAGTTTTCGGACGATTTTATCAAGTCCGAAGAGAATGACATGTTTATTGACATGGCTTATTTTTGTTCTAATGCAACACCCGTCTTCTCTCTCCGTTAAAGTGTCGACTCATGATCGTTTTTCGTTCGCAGGGCTTGAGGCGCTGGAGAAGGCTCTTTACTGCTGGGAGGATGCACTCACCGCATTCAGTTCGACTCTCGGCAATGACACCTTGGCACTACCCTCGAAGGCCGACGCGGCGTTCACGCACGACGTACAGGAATTACTCGACATGGGCTATCAGATGCAGAGCCACGCGGAACTGCTCTTCCTCGATCAAGTACGGTGTCTCACCGGATTAATCAGGAAATCCCCGAAATTGCTGATCCGTTGACTCGGCCTGACCTCGAGATTCGATCCTCCTCTTTCCTCCTCTTTCCCCGAAAACCGCTGTTCGTTCTTCCGCGAGCGGATGAATGGACGGGCAATCACCCGATGCCACTCCATTCCGTTGTATTCGTCATCAATTGTCCTCTGCCAGTCCGGTGAAAAAAATGAATTAAATGACGGCCGCCCTGGGATAATTAGTGCAACGAGTTTGACCTGACCCCAGTCGTCGGGAATTGTTGCGGAACGTTAATAGCATAGGAAGTACACGACTTTCTCCGAGGACAATCTGAGTCTTTGGATCATAATATATATTGACGATTAGATGTATATTATTGCAGAGAGAACTGTGACCTATTTATTTGTTTGATCGTACGCGGTTTCTCCTTCTCATCCGTTTCTCATCTCTTTTTTCCATAGCATTCCGTTCTGTTCCGCAATGACAGCGAGGAGAGTCTCGATAAACCTTCAAATATCGGGACGCGGATATCTGGCATCAGAGATAAAGCCGATGCCGCGTCGTCACCCGAATCGTTCGAATCTGCACGTGACGGGGTGAGTTATGCATGGGGCAAATAAATATAATTTACTTGCACCGCGCAGGAAATTAGACTGACGGTTGCGAGATGTAGCTCGTAAATATAATTTATGACCAGTAGTATAATGAGATATATCTCAACCCTGTCTTGAAAAAAAAAAAGATAAATAAGCTTACAATATTAAATACAATATTAAAATGATTTCAGGTTGCAGATTTACGCGAATTTGAAGAATTTTCGGAATTATTTCCACACTTTGAGAGGCAAAAGCTCTATCATGCCGCTCTCAAACAGTATGAGGATAAAGGCATTCCTTACAGGTAAATTATCGGTATAACGCGCATATGTGGATACGACACATAATTTATATTGTTACAGGAGACTACACACAGATCTGGTGAAGTGCGGATCGGACGTGGAATATTTAGCAAAAGTATATTGCCTTCGTCAGGCCTATACACAATTATTCAGTTTACCCACGGCATCGACATACATAATGGACGTGGGTCGCCAACTCATCAGCGATTTAATTATGTACGCGGATAGGGTAAGAAAGTGTTACATTTAATCGAGTGAATAAGCATAAAAGGATTTGAAATTAACCGCTTGACATTGAGAAAAGAAATTTTTATCAGGATCCTAAAGACTATTTGATGCATTATGAGCGTATGCTGAAATTCCTACAAGATCCGCGCAATCATCGCATCATGGAGGAGGAATTGTCTGCTCGAGGTGTCAAGTGCATAAACTTTTACGACGTGCTTATTGATTTTATACTCTTAGACGCGTTTGAGGATGTAGAGAAACCGCCGCCGCCTGTCAGAGCTATAGTTCAAAATAGATGGGTGTCCGCCAGTTTCAGAGAAACTGTATGTACACGAACAAATTTTTTACTATTCGCTTTCGATATTTGTTTAATCGATGATTTTCTTTAAAGGCGATAGGAACGGCGCTCTGGTCCCTCCTCGCAGGCAAAAGAAGAATGCTGAAATATGAGCAGGGTTTCTTGGCGCACTTTTATTCGATCTCCGAACAGATCTCGCCGATGTTCATCTGGGGCTTCTTAGGTTCCGAGGAGAGCCTGCGTTCTACTTGTCAATACTTCAGAGAACAAGTGATCGAGTTTCTTGTAGATATATTTAATTTTTTTAAGGTACGATACACCACTGTCGACGATCTCGCCGCGGATATACTCAGGGAAATGAAGCTAAGAGTTAACAATATAAATCAAAGACTGTCGTTAGAAGGTTGCTAGCCAAACAAAATACTTATAGATAATAAATTATTAATGTAATATGTTGAATAGGATTAATACTGCAAAATGCATCTATCTTTCAACATCTACCTTAAAAAATATGAATGCCAATTAAAAAAGCCAGATCAGATATCAGATAAGTTGAATGAACGATGCAGTATATTATCGTACTTTACAATTTTCATTACCGCATTCATAACGAACGAAATTGCTGACTATACATTTTTCTTTTGCCATTAATTTCATTATGAGTCTCATGCGTATATTCAACTTCACTTTCACTTCTGTAAAAATAAAGTATTAAAGATTATTAACATTTATAATATATTAAAGATTATTAACATTTATGCATATTATGACAGTTTGATCATAATATGCATGAATGTCAATAATCTTTAATATTCATTTATATGAAGGGGATGAAAATATGTATAGTATAGATTTTATCTTAAATGAATATCAAATTATAAGCTGGACTTTATTTATGGAGTTTGAGAGTAATCAATCGCGCGCACGTAATTGAACATATTCATATTAATATAACGAGTGAACCTCGTTGTCAAAATTATGTGATTTTTATACATATTTTATAATTTTTGCAAAATGGATACATTGTTACTGTTGCAATCCTATTTATTATTTATAACATAAACGTATTTTTTTTATTTTATTATACATAGGTTCCTTTTTTAATATCTTATAGCATTTTACACATATAACTGTAGAGTAATAATTCAGTGATATCTTTGTGCATTATTCAGAGCTATCAAGTTTTAATAAAATTATCAACATATTACAATTAGTCATATGATTTATGTGATACATAACGTAGAAGCATATAAAGAAGTAAGATCAATATATAAAATATGTCCTTAAGGGATAAATAAAATAATCTATATTTCTTTAATTAATCCTAAAAACAAAGAGATCACTTTTCAGTTATAAACAAATTTTTCTAATGCTATCGTTTAATTTATATTTATATATGATTAGATTAATTTATATTTATATATGATTAGATTAATTTTAATAAGAGACGCTGGTGTCATCTAAATTAATATAATTGCTTAATGCATTTTATTATTATTTTAAAATGGTTATCATTATCCGAATGTTTATCTTATTATTAGTTAGAATAATACCAGTTATACATTGTATAGTTGAAAATAGCTATTAAAAAATTGATGCATTTTTTGCCAAAGATATGTAGAATATTTATATGAATAATGAATTATTCAATATTGTCTTGAACTAATCAGTTTACTGACATTCCATATATAATTACGTCATGCATATAAGACATATATATTTTATAAATATCTTTGAGATTTAATTTATTGTATATTTTGATGAAAATAATTTTAATGAGAATTTGATTATTCTTATCGAAAAAAACGAGTATATGTGGTGACAAAAATGCATTAATTTCATGACATTTAATTTTTTTATGAATATGATTTTGTGAATTATTCTTAAATATTTATTTTCTAAATAATCTTTTGTAGCATAAAAATATATATTTATACAACAGAACATTATGTTTGTCAAAAGACATCATTTTAATTATGAAAAACAACAGTTTATCAAGTTTGTAACATAAAAATTATATTAGAGCAATATGTCATAATATTGATTATCTAAAATTTCATTTTATTTTAAAAAATTCATTTTATTTTAAATAATATGAATAATAAGCTATAATAAACAGTTACTTCCAATTCGCTATTTGTCACAAAAATGCATATATACATTTTCAAATTCCAAATTATTAGATGTGTTTTTTATAAGTGAATTAGTATATCCTTGTTGTATTTAAAATGAGAAAAATATGTTTAAAATTTGTAAAAATGAGAAAAAAATTGTAGTACAGTTCAGCGCAGAGATAAACAACAGATCTAATATTAAAATGAAAACTATAAAAAAATGATTCTGTAAAAAGTTCTTTGATTTTTCACAAATAATTAGACATACATAAAATACACATGGAAATATACCTACACAAAATACACATGGACATTGAAAAAAAAAAAATGAGAAACTCGAATGTACAGAAAATACAAACAACACGATAAAATGTCAAAATGTATACTAAAAGAAAAATGTAATACAATAAAAATATATTACACATACAAGAAATCCATATCTTCATCATCAGACTCGTCATCGCTGGACATGCCGTCAGGCAGGATATAGTCTATCTTATTTTCATGTTTATATCTTTGAAATCTATCTACTATAAAACAAAAGAGAATATATACGTGAATAAAATTAAAAAAGTAAAAAATTTGGAATTTATCTTTGACTATTTTTGAATATTTGTTCAATTCTGATATGGAAGAAAAAATTTTATAATGATATAGAGATATTTATTCTTACTGTCATATGTTGGTCTAATCTGAACATCTTCTATATGATCCGAGTTATAAGATATAAACGGAGCTTTTTCTTTGGATTTAATTAATCTTAGCCATGGAAACCCTATTGAATTAGAACAAGATATAAATCCATCTTTTACGAAAAAAATATACTTACAATAGAAAAAAATTACATTTGAGTGCCTTTATAAGATAGATCTTAATTTCTCTTCCAACATTTTTATGCATTGTTTTTTCCGCTATCACGCCTCCAAATAGATACAGAATGAGATAATATTCCTTGTCGTTTGCATTTGTACTGCAATTCGAGATTAGTTCAATATTTGCATCATACACATCTATTTCTTTCTTTTTTCTGCATACCTAAATTGCAAATTATCGTCCTCGACTCGGAGATAATAATCGGATACGTCGACCAATTGAATGCAAATAACAATTGTGCGATCTGTCTGATACCACTTGATTGACGGAGTAACGTGTTTAGAAATGAGATTAGGACAAATTATAGTTTTAATTTCAGCCATTCTTTTCACTTAAAGCAAATTTCTTATAAATGAAAATGCAATGTCAAAACATATGGCAGCATTCCAAACTAAGATTGAAATCACGATTTTAAACTAAGTCCTGTATTTGGACACATGAATATTCTTGACAGGTTAAGTTAGTTGATTTAGCGCTGGTTATGCTCCGATTAAATTATCAAATCTATCACATCACACATGTACTCTAGTTTGTATGAGTACAATTATCAATTTTTCATTACTTAATATATGAGAAAAGAATTTTAGATTAAGAATGAACTTTGTTTTCTATTCCTGCACTGGGCTGCACTAAAACTTTCTATCTCACTTTTATCAAAATAAACTTCAATATATATTTTATTTTAAGTATAAATAAGTATATACTAAGACTGCTTTCCGATATTCACTGCAAGTACTGAAAATCTGTAATATGACCTGAACTATATATTTTCAGTCCTGACAGTGAATATCGGACCGCAGCCTAATTCATCACAATCTATTTCATTTTAAGTATAACAAGTGTATACTAATTCAAAGTTAACTACCAACATAAAAATATATATGTATTACTTGTATCAGTATGTGCTAATAATGAGCTCCACTATATAGCCCAAAAAAAAAAGAAAAATAAATAAAAAAGATATAAGATAAATAATATAATAATAAATTATTTATTATTCTATAAATTCTGGAACATAGCAAGAAAAAATAAAATAAAACTTAAAAAGAAATAAATGCTACACAGTGATACAAAAATTCTACATATTGGCTAACCAGCAATGCTGCGCATGTGCGAAAATGGCGTTATTGTGGCTACGTTCGGAAACATCATCCGAATGTTCCCGTATATCATTTTATCTTTGTCTAACATTCGATAAACAATCAGGATAAAATGATACAGAGTCATTCGAGTAGTATTTCTGAACTTAGCTTGTTTAATGACATATGAAACGAGTTGAGAGTAGTAGGTTAGAATTTCGTGGATCACCACGTTCTTACTTATATGCTTTTTATACTTGTATTTTATATCAATATATCCTACAGTTCAAATAATAAATTAGGGGAAGTGAATGAGAGAAAAAAATGATCGACTCGAGCCCGGAAAGTATTAACGAAAGTGTGCTGCAGTTGATAGACAATATTCATCATAAGTAAGATAACTTTATCGACCTCTTAAGAAAATGTAAATAGAAACATATATTTAATACGCATACTCTCTCTTTTTCTCTTACGTTCCAGAGAAATTAAGGGTACACACAATATCGTGGTAGCTACTATCTCTGTGCTTAAAGAAATCATCAATAATATAGAATGGAGCACAGCAAAGTATGGACCTTTGTTCAAACCTGTTATGATAGATATTGATTATTATATTATTATTATTTCTCCAAGAAAGAAAATGATGTTTCTATTAATTTTCATATTGATTTACGCTGTACTAATTATTGTTATTTTATATTTATTTTTTCAGAGATTTGATGGATATTATCAGGCAAAATGGAAGGTACTTGGAAAAAACATTTCCTCTTGAGGCTTGTATCGGAAATATGATTAGACGAGTATTACATATTATTAGGGAAGAATATACTTTAGGATTGAAAAACAAGACAGATGAGATAGATCCACAAGAATCCTTGCACAAAATCCTTACTGCTGAAGGTGATCAGCAGATAGACTTTAATGTCTCGATGCCTTCTCTCAAAACTGCTCTTATCGAGCATATCAATGAATTTGAAGCTGAATTGGAAACATGGTTAGTTATGATCGTCACATTGCATCACTTGAATATACAAAGAAAAATGATGCAAGCTCCATGATATATCGAGTCATATGATCCAAACTATAAAACTGTTTTTAATAAATAACGAAAATATTGTATAATTTGTTACAAAAAGGGACTAAAAAAAGGGACAACATAAAAAAGTATATTTTATAAAAAAAATTGATGTGTTTATAGTTTGGAAAACATCACGCGGCAAGCATCAGAGCATATACATTCAAATGAAATTATAATGACCATCGGCAAGTCAAAGTTAGTGGAAGAATTCTTCAAGGGAGCCGTCGCTACCAGACCTTTTGATGTAATAATAGTCGAAGGCGGGCCATCTTTAGGCGTAAGTGTATATTTGACTTTCAAAGTTTAAAATCGTATGTAAAATGGAGAAAAGAAAAACATGTGAATGATTCCAGGGTCACGAAATGGCGGTGAATCTGGCTAAAGTGAAGATCAAGACCACGCTGATCTCGGACGTGGCAATCTTCGCAATGATGTCGCGCGTCAACAAAGTTATAATCGGCACTCATACCGTGATGGCAACTGGCGGCCTGCGGGCGATCTCGGGCGCACACACCGTCGCGCAAGCTGCTAAACATTATTCCGTACCGGTGATGGTTTTGCTTCCCCTTTACAAGTTGGCACCTCTTTATCATTGTTCAGGAAAGCAGAATGGCTTCAATCAACTGGTATCGCCGATGCAGGGCGTAATCGACAGCGCCAATGCATCGTTGTTAGAAAGGATACACGCCTACAATCCCGTATTCGATTACGTCCCGCCGGATCTCGTCACGTTGTTCATCTCGAACACGTACGATAAATGAGAATTAATTAGTAGACTAGAATTTAAATCGATCAATAATAAAGATCTTTATTTTTTTTTTTAGGGGTGGAAATGCGCCGTCTTACGTATACAGATTGCTTAGTGAACTGTATCATCCTGACGATAATGAACTGTAAATATTTATGTACATAACGCGTAAATAATATTTAATGTTAATAAATATAAGTCATGTTTATTTTTTTAATATTGTAAATAGAATATAAGTTTTTCCAAAATAGGTTTATCATTCATCATATTCCATTCATTCACAATCGTTAATTCTTCGCTTTCTAATTGGCTTCTTTCAAACAAATGTACACAAAATAAAAGTTGAAGTCAAACTGCGAAATCTGCCAATTATAAGTTGGCTCTCACAGAGAGTCATACATCGCTTCATTGATATATTCATTTTTAGTACATTGAAGGAAACTTGCAACATATATTCTACATGATCTAATTTCCAGTCACAACAATTTATTTACAAATTATGAACTATAAGTTATATACAAAAAGCAATTCCTGGTTTTTCAAAATGCTATACGTATGGATTCCAATTACTGCCATCTTCAGGTTGTAAAGAATTCGTTACCAGAAGGATAACATCGACGATCCACCACACGCCCATGCCACCTAGTGTCAGCAATTTGCCTACTGCTGTACCAGTCTGCCCTAGGCAAAATCGATCCATGCCGAGGAATCCCAGTAGAATGCTATATAATAGAGTCGTCGCGAAAAAATGATCACTGTACTTTATACATGGAATTCCCTCGCGGGAAAACGTCCTCGGTCCGAAACACTCGATGTCCGGTAACACCGTACAGGACACCTTGGTCTTCTCTACATCTTCATAGCGAGATCCTCCAAACTGTTAATCACATTTACAATCGTAACTTATATCTGAATTTTAATTATGTGACGTATGAGAGAAAGTTTGCCATTTTTTAGAAATTTCTTCCATTCGTTTAAGGTATATAAATGCCACAGAAAATAAACTAGATTACGCAATGCGTACCTTGACGCAACCGAAGCCCGAATTCTCATCCTTGGCGGTCTTATTACCCTTATGATCAACCGGATCCTCGCATTCCACAAATTCCTTAGGTCTATGAAAAGATAATTGCAATTATTATGTTGGAACCACTAAGGAATTTCGCATTCCACCGGGATACTAACAAGAATTTACACATCACCAGCGGACCATCGGGCCTGTACTCCTGCTGCTGATCGGCACTCTTGTTTGCGAGCACTAAACGTTCATTTCGATCCCACAAAAGGCAGATAATTATCGCAAAAGCGAGATATAACCTCATTTTGTCGCGGCTGTCATTTTAGACGCGACGGCAACACACGGAATGTATGAAAGTAAACAAACGCGAGTGCCTGTGTGAATCAGATGAATGTCAGTGCCATGGAGTTCGGTGGCGAATACGAGAATTATTTCATTTTTGCTTAGTCCTATTCTCTTTTTAGCTGACTTGCGCGATATCATATTTTCCTTTTTTTGTCCATTTTATCGCGTTGCTTTGTATTCCCTACAACTTTTCAGTACAAATGTACTTAGGAACAATGGAGAAAGAGAGAACGAAAATCTCAAGTGCAAGAATACAAGCAACGCGAACGGGCTTATGAAATAAATAAGGTCATGTGATCCAAACTTGAAAACTTGAATTTTGACATTAAAAATGAACGGCAATTTCAGTATGAAAGAGTACTTTAAAGCCAATTTGATTGTTTACATTTTTATTTTGCGCAATGACCAATCAATGTACACGGATTCAAGTTTCGCGCGAGTGTGAATCGACTTGTCACGTGATGTTTCAGCTGCGTGTGACAGGCGAGAAAATTTTATGCGCGTAATAAAATAATTTTACAATAATTATATAATGCGCAACGATATGGCAATTACGACGTAATGTTGTTTACAACATTTTAACGCCGAAGCATCATGCTGTCCTTGAATCGGTTGTGTTCAAAGCCGAGAGCTTATCTGGTGTCATCCGTCGATTCAATTTTGTCCAAGAGACTTGAGCATAAATTTCATCCCAAAGTTACCACAAAGGTACAATATCGAATATTATATGCTTTGTTATTATAACAATATACATAATTTAAAATAATTAATATACGAGACGCGTTAAAATATGTACGATAGAAACTGTACGAGACGCTGGGAGTAGCAGAGGATTGCGAAGATGAGACTTTGAGATTGGCGTTTGTTCATCTTGCAAAGCGATTTCATCCTGATAGCGGAGCACCAGAAGCTAACACTGTTCGATTTTCTGAGGTAAAGCATCATTGAAATATATTATTCCTAAAAATAAATAAGATGTATCTATTTTATTCTATGATTGTTCAAAGTAGATCGAAAGCGCTTATAGAGAGATTCGAAGAATCAGAAATGCTCAAAAAGATGAAGAAGCATTGTCGGGAGTGGAAGAGTTTGATATCAAGGTAGTTATACTTCGTAAACATATATATTTATGCAATTTTTTTCTTTGTAACTCCAGTTGCCTTTGTTTTAAGCACACAGCACCGCAACATCGTCACTACTTGACTTTTGATGTGGGAATTGGCACACCAAGCAAGAGACAAAAGCTGCATACGATACAAAGGGCTCAAAAGGCAGTTGACAACGTGATGGAGCACAGATTAAAGAAATTACAGGCTGAAGAACGTAACACATTAATTGGCATGGATAAGCAAAAAGCTAAGGATATCAAAACCCGTTATGGCATGGACCGTTTAGTGGAAGATTTAATTCAAGAGGCGATGAATAAAGGTGAATTCAGCGATTTATCTGGAATAGGAAAGCCACTGAAGAGTACAAGCGCCAGAAATCCTTATGTTGATTTCGTGACTCATAAGCTAAATCAGGTATACAAAAATGAAGAATATTAATTCCAATTTGAACATAATTTATTTATATTAATTGTGATTATAGATATTGATAGACAATGGATTCACTCCAGAGTGGATACAATTATCAAAAGAAATTCGGGAAGAGACCGAAGAATTGAAGAAGAGATTGTCAGAAGCACGTAATAATGTAGGCGAGCTACCATTAATTCCGAAAGATGAATCGATATGGAGAAACAATTTAGAAAAATTCAAAATTACAACGAAACAGATAAATAACAAAATTGACAAATATAATTTGCTAGTTCCTATACTACAGAAACAAATGCTCCATGTTAGATTAGATAAGCTTGCTGAGCAAGTCTTATCAGTATCGCCTTCTAAAGATAACAAAAAATATGCAAATACTAGTCACGAAAATTCGAATATGAGCATATCTCAGGATTTGTTTAATTTCATAAGCGACTTGTTTAGTAAAAAGATTATTAGACGGTAAAAATTACCTAGAAGGTAAAAATCATGTAAATATTGCAATCTTGTATATATATATATATCAAATAAGACTAACACAGATGTAACAGTATAAAAAAAGGAACTTTTGTATTTTATAAATCCAGTGTATGTATATATATATATACATATGTATATGTAATCTCTAATTCCAGTAAAGAGTTCCATCTTCTTGTAATTTTATACGACCAGTTGCCAAATGTTTTAAGGCACGAGGATAAGCTCGATGTTCCGCTGTTTTCACGCGTTCTTGTAAAATTTTCTCGGTATCATCCGGGAATACGGGTACTACTTCTTGCTCAACAATAGCTCCTGAATCAATATCGATCTAATAGAAAGGGAGAAAATTTATTTTGATGATTCATTAATACTCGAGATATGACATTTGTCTTCTCTGTCTATTCAAACTAAAAAAAATTTGATCCTTTTTGATTATAATACCTCAACAAAATGAACAGTACAACCCGATACACGCACACGCGCCGCTAGAACATCCTTATGTGCGTTCACGCCTTTGAAGGATGGCAACAATGAAGGATGTATGTTTAATAGAGCTCCTTTCCAATGCTTTACAAATTGATGTGATAGAATCCGCATAAAGCCAGCTAGGCATACTATTTCCACTCCAGCAGAATGAAGTTCCACGTTCATGGCTGCGTCAAAAGACTCGCGGCTTGGATAATCGGTATGTTTGATTACCTATGAATTAAATAAAAAATTATTATTAGGGCATTAATCTACGTTTACCTTTTCACTTCTGATTAACATATTAATTACCATTGTCTTGATGCCAGCTCTCTCAGCGCGTCTCAATCCTTCAACGCCAGGTTTATTGGAAATCACCAAAACGATTTCCGCTCCCATGTGCTGCGACGGATCCTGAGTGGCATTAATTAACGATTGGAGATTCGTACCGCTACCCGATATCAAAACACCCACTCTCTTGAGAGGCTTGCTCAATGTTGCAACTACATCAGGAACATATCGTTTCATTTCCAATTCCAGAACTTTTTCAAAGTTTTCCACGTACATCTTAGCCTGGTCATCTACATGAACATAATAACATATAAATTGATGTAATTAATTATATTAACTATATTCACAACAAGATAGTTACTGCGATGTGTGTCCACGCTTCCGATAACCACAGGGTTTTCGTCTTTTAGTTTAGTCAAAACTTCAGCCTTATCCTTCTCGGAGCATATCAATACTGCGCCGATTCCGCAATTAAATGTTCTTAGCATCTCATGTTTACTGATTCCACCTAAATAAAATTGGGATATCGATCATTATTTATGTAAATTATTCGATGCATTTACACTTTTACTTTGTAATTTTACAAATAGAAAAGTTGTGTAGACTTGTGGATAGTACACTCACCAACTACAGCTAGCCATCCAAATATTGATAAAATATTCCAATTTTTCGCGTCTAATGTTGCACTTAAATTTTCCGGTAAAATTCTAGGAATATTTTCTGTAAGACCGCCGCCGGTGATGTGTGCGAATCCCTTTACCAGATTAGTTCGCAAGGCCGGAATTACACTTTTTACATAAATCTTTGTTGGTTCCAACAATTCTTCACCTGTGGTATTATATTATTCTTATAATGTGCTCTTTAATGCTCTATATATTATTAAAAGTAGTTTATAATACTTCGTACCAATAGTTCGATTGTTCTTTGAAAAAGGTGCTACATCGGAGTATTTTTTATCTGCGAGTTTCAGAACTTTTCGCACAAGACTAAAACCATTGCTATGCACGCCGCTCGATGGAAGACCAATTATTACGTCACCTTCTTTAATATCATTCATGCGTGGCAATAAATTGTCTCTTTCGACTGCGCCTACCGCAAAGCCTGCCAAATCGTATTCTCCCTCGGGATACATATCTGGCATTTCAGCCGTTTCTCCACCAATCTGAAAATCGTAATTCCTTTAACAAAAAATTCTGTGATAATAGATATTTATTTTATTTAACTTTCAGAAACATTCTCAACTTATATTATGAATGTTACATTACCAAGGAACATCCTGCTTGCTTGCAACCTTCGGTAATCCCATTTACGACTTTCGTTGCCACTCCAACGTCAAGCTTTCCACAAGCGAAATAATCAAGGAAGAATAATGGTTCCGCGTTATGTGCGAGGACATCATTCACGCACATAGCCACCAAGTCTATACCCACTGTATCGTGCTTATTGCATTCAATTGCTATCTATAAAAAAAAAAGTCGTAAACAGACTGGTAGTTTCCTTCGAGCTTGATACTCACCTTCAATTTGGTTCCAACGCCATCGGTGCCAGACACAAGGATGGGATCTTTGTAACCGGCAGCTTTTACGTCAAAGAGGCCACCGAATCCACCTATGGTGCCTAAAGTGCCAGCGCGTTTTGTAGAGCTTGTGGCTGGTTTAATAGCAGATACAAGATTATCACCAGCGTCAATACTCACGCCACTACTTTCGTACGTTAATTGCCCCTTTTGCAAGATAGATCTGAAATGTTTGACTGTTAATGTCATGCGAGATATTAAATTTAACATTGATCTGATCAAATCAATCATTACACCTGGCAATTCCCTTATGTGCAATGTCTGTTCTGAATTGTTTTCCATCAAATGATACAAACTGAGCAGCTTGAGTAGCTCTAGCCGCTGCCATTGCCAAGGTTGGTGCTATGTTGACAGTGATAAGAACTCTTCCGCCTGTAAATATACTGTAATTATCTAGGCGTTCGTTTAGATATCTTTTATCGTGTCGCTATTTACCATTGGTTACTAAATCGCCTTCCGACGAGAGAGTTGTGCCGCAGTGAAAAATAAAGTGATCCTGTTTACGCGATATTTTATCAATACCCGTTATAATTTGACCCTTGGATGAGGACTCCGGATAACCGCGAGATGCTAAAATCACACCCACAGAAGATACGTTTTCGCGCCAGGAAACGAGAGACGCTTTTAAAGTTCCCTCACAACAAGCCTGTAAAATTTGATATTACATATGAAATTTATCAGAAGCGTCATATCAATGCAGAAATAAAATCTTTAATATTATTCCAAGACATAATTTTTAATAAATTAATGTCAATTATACCTTCATAATCGTAAACAAGTCTGATGCCAATAGCGGTAACATTACTTCCGTTTCAGGATCCCCGAATCTGCAGTTAAATTCTAAGACTTTAGGGCCATCTTCAGTTAGCATTAAGCCGGCATATAATACCCCTATAATATTGATTTTATGTAATAATATACGTTTATGTGATCTAATATCATTATCAATGGAAGATTACAAACCAACAAACGGGATATTCTCCTTTCTAAGTCCATCTACAGCTTTCTGGAGAACATTCACTTTCACCTGTTCGTATTTTTTTTCACTTAATAGTGGACATGGACAATATGCTCCCATTCCACCGGTATTGGGACCAAAATCTCCGTTAAAAATTCTCTTATGATCTTGCGCAGGCATCATTGGCACAATAGTCTTGCCTGAACATCAACATTAGAAATTGAGAGCAACCATTAATTACTGATGACTTTTTCAATAGAAACAATTCAAGTAACATAAATAATCTTGTTTACCATCTGTAAATGCAAGTACAGACACTTCCTCGCCTTCCAAGAGTTCTTCAACAACTACGGTCTCGCCGGCAGCTCCAAATTTCTTATCATTTAAAATTTCATCTATCGCATGACAAGCTTTCTGTTGATCTTTCGCGACTATGACACCTTTACCAGCAGCCAATCCTGAGGCTTTTACTACAAGTGCCTTAAAGGGAGCGCTGTGACAAAGAAGAGCATACAAGTTTCCATGTCATTGGTTCTTCTCAATGAAGATATAATCCCTCACTCACCTCTTAATAAAGTTCTTTGCTTCCACAGCGGAGGTAAAACCTTGCCACCTAGCAGTTGGAATATGATTTCTGTCCATAAATTGCTTTGCCCAATCTTTATTGGCTTCAATCTGAGCCGCTTTCTTTTGTGGACCAAAACATTTCACTCCCACTTCATTTAGATCGTCCGCTAATCCATGAGCCAGAGGATCCTCCGGTCCAACCACTACTAGATCAACGTTATTGTCCTTGCTCCATTTGGCAACTTCCTACAGAGAAAAACAAGGCACGATTAATATCACATGGCTGACCTATGGAAAAATTATAAAATGATTATATAATATTATGGTGTACCTTGGTATTCTTGACATTTAATTCAACTAATTGTACTTTGTCCACTTCTTTGATGCCGGTATTCCCAGGGGCAACCAAGATCTCTTTCACCTACAACACATCATATTAATTTCTATTTAATGAATTCTCTAACGTTGCCATTCATCTTGCCTTGCAATTTTAATTAACTTACGTGCGGCGATTGAGATAATTTCCAGCAAATGGCATGCTCTCTACCACCTCCGCCAATTACCAAGACCGTGTGTGTGTGCTCGGTCATCTATAAGTCATAACATGCTCGTCATATCGACAGTCATAAAAATATCAAATTAAGTACCGAATTATTAAAGTAACTCGATACTCTCGATAATTTTCAGGTTTAATAAGCTCGTCATAGAAATCATCTTTCCTCACCTTGCTTCAACTTGTTGGAATTCTCTTGTCCGAGTCCGGCGTTAATATTATTCGTTATTTACAGACCTCCGTTGCGAGATCGCCGGATAACACGTTGCTCGGGGGGGCTTGCGAACGAAACGTGGGATGCCACAGGTGGTCGGCGCAAGCCGCTCTCGGCGCAACGACAACACGGCGACTAACGACGAGAACTTACGCGCCAATCGTGCTTTACGCAACTAAAGACCGACCGGCTCGATCTCTCGTTCTCTGCGGGAGTTATTCTATAATAAACCCGTATATCGCTCGCGCGATGACCCGCGATGATCTTTCGAGAAGCGATTTAAACGAGACGTCGATCTCGGCGAGGATGTTGTTTACATTATTACTGCACTAAGTAATGTACAAGAGAACGGAGATATCCGAAATGCCTTTTTCATTTTACATAATTACGCTTATAATCTCTTCTCGCTTCACATTATCGTTATTTTTTTTTATCTCGTTTGATAAATATTGGATTGAATTTCCAAGAGATTGTTCGAGAGAATTGTGAGAGAACAATAGCTTTGACGACAATAGCTGTTCTATTTGTAAGTTTACGTCGAATAAATGTAATGTCTATTCACGTTTGCGAACTCTATAAATGTTAATGAAATTATTTTGAGATTTGACGGTTGCGAGGTCACGCGTGTCAATCTTATCGCGATTGTTGTAACTTGTTTGTATTACGACAAATAACGCAACGCAACTTTCATCAATCTAAATTTTATTATTAGATCAAAAATAACTTTGGCAATAATCGTGATTCTCAACTCGGTCAATTTATAACGAGAATTTCAACGCAAAATTAAAAAAACATTATGCCTTATAAAAAAAATGTACATATTAATAAAAACACAAGTTTTTTTATATATAAAATAAATTTTAGAATCCGACAACCGAGCAAATAATCAGGAGACACGGATCTCGGGTGTCAAGTCAATCGAGAACACTACCGTGTGATAAATTCTTTCCGCAATTTAAATCCACAACTTGTAATTCGAAAACTTATTCATAATTTTATGTGTTATATGTGAAAAAAAAAACATTAAAAAAATCAGGAAATACATCTTGAACATAAAGACAATATTAGAGCTGCACATAAAATTATAAATAAAATCTTGAAATCTGATCCGTCGCATATATTATAGGCTTCAAACTATAAGAACGTGAAAGAACCATAAATTGTGAAGTTGGTCCATTCGATGATATTTTGTTCGCGTGACATTGATGTCCAAGATAAGTGCGGCCGCGACGAGACGTAATGATCGAAATCGCGCGACGTGATATCACGAAGACATTATTTACATGATAGTATTATACGGACGTGTAGGTGGAGAACAGATCGATGCGACAGGGGTGGATTATGTATGCCGCTATGAGCGGAAGCGCATCCACGAGCCGCTTCTGGCCGTTGCCTGGACTCGCGCGTATCCCTGGATCGAGATTGTTGACATCGACCAAGAAGACGCTCGAGATGAAGAAAGTAGCGGCGGAAATCGCGGAAGTTGCAGAGTGTAAAACACCTGACAAAGTTAGTCGCGCCGGAGAGAACGCGTGTGAGAAGTAGAGTAGCACAGAAAAATGCAAAGATTCCTCTCCGTCACAATGCAATGCTGTACATTCTTCTTACGCATCTCATTAACGAATCACAATCTCATCTTGAGATATCTAAAGATCTATTTTTGTATAATTGATAATTAGAGATATCTCTATATTAGAGACATACATAAACAACTAGACATTAGAGGAGAAAGAAAAAAAAAATGAAGTTTTGCTACTAAGAATATAAACCTAATATTTTATATTATATAATTTAACATATTATTTAGATAAGCTCCTCTTTTTTGTACGTGTGATATGTAAAAAAAAAAAGAATATTTATGATTCTGAAGATTTATGGAAAAATAAAAAAAATCTAAATAATGTATATGTATATACGTATACAATTAAACTGTTATTTAGAATAGATCTTTCGCAGAAGGCAAAAATCGTGCCGAGGCTACAAACAGTACGCGTATATCGATGGAATCCGGAAACACCGGACGTGAAACCGTACATGCAGCAGTTCAGCATAGACCTGAACAAGTGCGGCACGATGGTGTTAGACGTGTTAATATTGATCAAGGCGCAGCACGATCCAACATTATCCTTCCGAAGGTCCTGTCGCGAGGGCATCTGTGGATGCTGCGGGATGAATATAAACGGCGTGAACACCTTGGCTTGCATAACGTAACTCATCTTATAAAATTTTTGGCGCTGATAAATCAGGCGATAGGAATATTGATTTCTTTGGATTTGCGAGTTTTTGGAAATTTGGATGTAGTCCTTTAGTTTAAATGACTGAATGTGTAGAAATCAAATGTTTAGACAATTAGTGTTTCAAATATATTTTGTACACTTAGACGTCTGGAATTTGAAATAGTTACGTTAATTTCACATGCCGTATAGTCACATTTGCTTTTATAGCGGGACTCTAAGGGAATAAAACTTACTTTTGACAAATCCTTCTGATAATTCTGACAAATCTTTCTTTTTTTTTTTAATCGCACTTAACAACATTGCACGAAACTGGTTCAAACTGCCTTTAGAAAAGTAAAGGAATCTCCGAAGCCATTGGTGATCTATCCTCTACCGCACGCATACGTGATTCGAGATTTGGTACCCGACATGGAACAATTCCTGGAACAATTTCGGAAAATCGATCCGTATTTAAAGCGGCCGGGCGAAGACGAATTTCTTGGTATGCGACAAATCTTGCAAAGTCCGAGGGACAGGGAAAAACTCGATGGCTTCTACGAATGTGTGATGTGCGCATGTTGCACGTACTCATGTCCTCCTTACTGGTGGCTCGGTGACAAGTATCTGGGACCTGCGGTGCTACTGCAAGTAAACTTCGTCAAATTTCATTTTTCTATAACAAAGAAAAAAAGAACAGAGATCGTTCATTCTCTATGTCCATTCGCTTACATTGTCAGGCGTACAGATGGGTGATAGATTCGCGAGATATGGCACATAAAGAAAGACTGGCGAAGCTGCAGGATTTCTATTCGGTTTTTCGATGCAAAACGATTTTCAATTGCACCAAAACATGTCCAAAAGTGAGTCTTAACTATTATATTATTCACTCTTGCCATCCAAAAAATCCTAGTTTTTTCAAAAAGAAATAAAAAATGTTTAAATTAACTTCATGCATCACTCGGTGTTGTCTTGTTGCTAGGGTCTGAATCCGGCAAAGGCGATCGTGCAACTGAAACGTTTACTGGCCGGATTTGCAAAAAAAGAGAAACCAGATCTCGATACACCACTTCCGAATCCTTGTGGCGGGGAAGAGCAATATCCATGCAGAAAGGAATAAAAAAAAATAGGGTACAATTCGCGAGACACTCCTCTTTATTATATAATGTTCATCACTTGGAATAAAGAGTTTTGCATAAGTGAATAATAGAGTAATTTTATTATCATGTAACAGGTTATAAACCCATAACGATAATTAAATGTCAGGTAGATTAGATCTATATTTTTTACAGATATCTTTTACTAGACGTTAAACATAAGGCAGTCTTTCATCTCGTCTTATTAATGTTATATTTTTTACGGGCATCCTAAATTTTTTTAATCAATGAATTAACGAATTGGCACTTAATATCGTTCAACAATCCTTGCAGTGCATGTTACTCATTTTATATATCAAGTCCTCCTATGTTGCAAATTAAATCACTATATTCATCAAGTTGAGATACGTCAAACAATAAAAATATATCATACGTGAAGAATACATTTTATATCTTTATCACAGAGTATATATCTTATTATTTATTCTATGATTTTGATATCTAGTATCTTAATCATATAGTTAATTGTAATAAGTAAAAGTAATAAGTAAGTAATAAGTAAATAATAAGCAAATGAAATAAATTATTATGAATAATGTAAATGGAAATTATGAATATTTATTTTGTTGTACTATATTTGCACTATGAGGTTATTTGTATTGATTAACCTGTTAATGAATTTAACAAAATTAATTGATATTTAAATCTATGAAAATATCGTTTTTTTAAATAGAAGTTATTCTATAAGCAGGTAACATGTATCATAACATCACGACATCTATAAGATGCTAGAGATCTCATCAAAAAACTATTTCTCTGTGCTTGCAAAATATAAATAAAATATTCTTCTCGCATACTCTGCATCAAGTGTCCTTTTTTCAAACCATAAGCCGTGGACGTTTGGGGCAAATGATCGGAGGTGGCACATTTTCAATATCCTCATTGTTCTCCACATTAGAATTCCGTAATAATTTGTTCACTTCTTCTCGCATACGGGCGTCTCTTAACCAGGAATGTAACAAAATGTGTGGTACCGTTATACGTTCCTTCGGGTTTACTGTCATCATACGCTTAATCTGAAACAGCGCGATATTCCATTGGAGATTGCAGCACATCAATCACTATTAACAAGGTAGGCATTCATTACATACTAGTCTTATAGCATCTGACGATACATATTGAAAGCGAGATGGATAAAATTCGTATCGTCCACTTTTTATTTGTTCCTCCAAAGTAACATCATTTATTTGAAAAGGAAAGATACCACTTAAACAAACGTACAATATAACTCCTAAACTCCATACGTCAACCTGAAAAAATATAAAATAAATGATATTTTTTTCATGATGTCTTGATGATCATTTCTCGGGATATTAAACAGTTCAATAGTAGAAATTGTTTACAAAGCAAAAGATTTAGGTTCGATTTTACAACTTTACAATCAAATAAATAAATATCTCATTCTTCCGTTATTAAAGCTTCATCAAAAATTATAAGTTTTAAAAAACGTAAAGAAAGTGAAAGATTATTTGTCGGAATATAGCAAAGCTAAAGATCATAAGTCTAATTAAAAAGAATTATATCTCATTAGATACATACTTGATTTGTATAAGAGTTACGTCCATAGGTTGTGACAATCTCGGGAGCAACATACATAGGAGTCCCACAATATGTCTTCATCATTGTCTGAGCGTCCACAAACTTGGACATACCAAAATCCGACACCTTGACCAAAGGACTGTCCGAATAGTCCTTTAGCAGTATATTTTCTGGCTGTAAATGTGTAATATTCATTAAATAAAAAAATTGATGATATATTTATATAGAATACAAGCAAGAGATACACATTTGGAACAAGCTGTTTTAAGTAGTACCTTTAAATCTCTATGGGTAATGCCTTGTCTATGTAGATAATGGACGGCAAGTATGACCTGATAGAATATTAGTTTCGTATATGGTTCAGACAATTTGCCTCTGCTTCTTATTCTATCAAAGAGTTCACCCCCTTCCATCAATTCAAGGATAATGTACATAGCTTCTGGTGTATCATGGATATCCTCCAAATGAATTATACAGGACTAAAACAAACATCTAATTCTATTGAGCCATCCAAGCCATGGAGTTACAAAATATCATATGGATATATCTCAACTTACATGTTTCAACTTCTTTAGTATTTCAACTTCATTCCTGATATTTTCAGGATTATTGAAAATATTCCCATTTCCAATGCTAAAATAATTCTTCTTTATAATTTTCATAGCAAACTTTTCTGACCCATCTTTTTTAAATACTAGCCTCACTTCGCCACAGGCACCAGTTCCTAATTTATGGCCAATTGCATACCTCTGTTTCAACTCTGATGGCAATTGACATGGAAGTTCATGTACAATTGTACTCATAAATACATAAACTATAATTGAAAAAAATAAATTTGTTATATCCATCTATCAATTTGTATTAAGTTTTGATACAAGACACGGATACCTGATAAATCTTCCCTGGCTATGGCTATTACGGAATTATTTTCAATGATAATGCGATTTCTGCGACCAACCAATCTTCTATCAACATAAGTCCCATTGTAGCTCAAATCTTCTAGGTATACTACTATCTCATTTGTATTGTTGATGCGTTCTCGATATATGCGAAAATGTACCTTACTGACCACTTTTAGCCAAGTTTCTCTCATTTCATTTGTAGTTAAACGAATATCACAGTTTTCGGAACGTCCCAAGGTATAACCCGAGTCCCTTGTTAGTTCTGAAATTCGTACAAATTTATTTCCAAAGAGATAGAGCGCATTGTAGTCTTGCTTGCAAGAGGGTGTCGCAAACTCTTACCCACAGTTCTCAGGTTTGATACTTTCGATTGCATCACAGGACACAATCTTCCCCAGATATTTAACGTCGGCTGCTGGCTCAACGCCTCCTGCGACTGTGTCAATGCATCTGCATTTTGGGTGTCAGGCAGACTGGCGGGAACAATCTGGTCCTGTGATGCCAGTTCCATTGTGTCGTGAGATGAAGAATTATCCAAGATTCAACCAAAAGATTTAAGACGTTTTGAGACGCCACGTGAACCCTTGAATGGAGATCGCTAACCCATCGTTGTAAATTGTTTCAAAAACAACAAGCGGATGTTCCTCAAGGAAAATTCGCTTTCGTACGATTTTGTATTAAATAGAGGAGATGCGGTGTACACCTGAGAAAATTCTTTACGAGTCTGCATGAGCCACTGGCACGACGCGTCCCTCAAGTAACAACAAAAGAATAGTCAAGCCGGTGAAACAGACAACCTGCTCTCCGCAATGAAATCTGATTGATCCTTACTTTTGAGTCCAACCAATCATATTGAACTTACGTATCGGAGAAGGGAAGACTCTCCTTCTGTTCCAATAAGATTCAAGGCCATTTATAAAATGATCATCAAATACGCCTGACCTGATCTCTGCAGCTTTGTGTACCACAACGTGTCGCAGTTCCCGCATAAATTGTGCGTTTACGTCGATAAATAAGCTTATCGATCAGCACCCACAAATTGAAGGCAACGTTCACATTATCGATAATTGCAAAAAAAATTAACATCTCGTGTCAATAATTGTTCTATATAAAAATTTTGCAACTTGTATGTACAAAAAAATTGATGTTTCCAAACAAGCAAATTATAAGAAACAATATTGAGTTTTTTAAACTATACTTAGATTGCTAATATGATAATATGATATTTCAATATGTATTATGTGGACACTTCCTCGTAGAGTTCACTCGTCCTTCCACAGTATCTCATAACACAATAAAGAGATAACTCCATGTTCAGTTGATCGAACTTGACAGCTCTATCCTGAATATAGATTTTTATAACCCATAGATCTCTTAATAATGAGAATCTCTTCATTATAGTTAAAATTATCAATTTACAATTATATTTTTGATAAAAATCTGCATAAAAATTAATTTAAAATAACTATCACAATTAATTTTGCAATTAAAAGTCTCTTCCTACAAGGAGCTCGTGTAACATTTTAGGATCACAATAAATATCTGCCAATCCTGTGTATCACAAATGACGAAGAATACTTTATTGTAAATCTACTTGTCGGTATCATTTCCCAAGCACGTAGAAAGCGAGTCACAAAAGCCATCGTGACGAGTCTTATGACAGGCGACACTATAACATAATTTTTCGTGGGTTGTTTCTTTTCTTTTTTTTATTATTTTTTTTTTTTTTTTTATTTATTACATCATCTACGTATAAACACGCACAATGGGTGTTTGGTATGCGTCTCGCTTACAATGCTACGTTGCTAATTCTCTTTGCCCTATTGTACTATATAAAATACTGTCATGCACATGTCGATTAATATGTATTGCAGAGTTAGGGGAGGGGATCCTCTTAAGCCTCTCTGTACTGCTCTCTCTGTTCGAAAACTCTATGAAAACTCTAATCGGAAAGAGATCTAGCGGGCACAATGAATCCGCATTGGCGCTTCTCTAGACGCACACTCGAACGAGAGATTTAACACGAGAGACCTGCAAACGTAGAAAAAATGAAATTACGCCCGTTCTGAAAAACGTAGGTGATGATACTTAAGTGTAACAGCATACAACGATCTCACGACTCAGTGACAACTTGGTTTATTATTCATCAAAATAATTTAGTACCACATTAATTGAGGGGTATCTCTTCTCGGATGGGAGGGATGTTTTTGTTTCGTACTTGGCTGAACAAACATTAGAAGATAGCAGTCATTAAGTGTATCGGTGTTGGAAAAATTATCCTTATTTAAGCGATTATCGATTACTGATTTCCTTTCTTTCTTACGGATTACACGTTTTATACACGTGTGCGAATGTCCTTCTTATCAAATGCCTGAAAAATCGGACGCTTTGCCTCGTGTATTTGTATGCGTGTATGTGTGTTGTGTTTCGTACGTGTTGATCAATCGTTAACTTAACTTTGTGTCTCTCTGAAGTTTACTTCCTTATCTTCTTTCTATCGTCTACGCTTATGTCTGCGCTACCGCTAATACTAGTTAGAATTAAAAGATAGAACTAGTACCCACCGTCTCTTGGAACCCACGCAATGAACTATGCGCTTCTAAAATCGCATGTTACCTCACGAGTCTCCTCTCCCATCGGCTCTACTCTACCGCTCAAATCTCAATTAACGCATTTTCATGAATTCAGCTACGTGCCCATTGCGTAATATTGTTATTATTAACAACGCACGGTGATCGTAACGTCAAGCGAAAATCATTTTTCGGATGCTCTTCGAGTCTCGCCGAGTGATCCCTCGATTTTTTTCTTAATGCCTGCTTCACTTAAAAATAATAAAAATACTTCAAAAGTTGCACACACAGTATATATATATATATGCTGGCCCTCAACAGATTTCAGTTAACATTTTTTGACTCTACAAGATTCGATTTTTACATAAGTGTATGTAACGCAATCAAACTCCACTATAATCAGAGGGACTCACTATCTCGAGAGAGAAAATCTAATTGAAGTATAAATATATGACTATTATTGAAGCATAAATATATGACTATATTTGTTTTCGATTTTGAGGCAGTCTTTGTATCTTGTCGTACTGCTTTTATGCTTTTTATACCTTTTTGTCATCCGATTCATACCACTCGTGACGTTACGCTACATGTCTCATAAAACAGATGTTCGTTAACGCAGCAAATCTGATAATAACTCAAGATACACGTGAGAGCTGACGATCATTAACACTCGATATTTGTATGGTACAAAGACAACTGCGCGTCTATACATGTGTTGTACGTGTGTGTGTGTGTGTGTGTATATGCTTATATATATAATGTATATATATATATATGTATAGAATGAGTAAAGGAGCAACATCTTTTGTTCTCTCAAGAATTCTCGAGGAGAGGACGCGGATATAAGTGACAACGAATCGGTTATCATCATTGCGCGAGGTTGAACGCCACAACCGAAATTTTCGCTACTGCCGACAGAAAGAAGTTAAAGAGATTCGACGCGTTCTTACGCAAGATCATAATCGAGGAGGACGATCTTCTTCTCTCTTTGCGCGCGTGTACGTGTGTGTATACGACCAGCTGGTAACTAATACTTTAACGGATACATTGCATAAGCAGGCGAAGAGAGTAAGAGTAAATCAAAGGCGAGTTATATACTCATCGACGTCGAATTTCGCGCTGCGAATAAAGACACGTATATATATATATATATATACAGAATAATGCCTACTACAATTGCACAACATTGTCTAAAAGGAATATAACTCTTGTAATTGTATTATGGCATTAGAGTGAGCCCACATCCCGTAGATGATCCGTAATGAGAACTCGTGGGAGCGTCCTCTCGATCGTTTGATCCTCCGTGACCGTTTTTCGATTCACTCTCCTCGAATAGTGCAGTTCATTGCCGTAAAACGATGTATTTTGTAATATAATTACTAATTATACTTTATTTTATAAATTAATTAAAGAGTTCTTAACCATACGTGTTTATATGTGTTTATGTATATAATATATATATAGATATGTACGATAGCTTTTTGTAGCAGCTTACTCTTTCGGCCGATTCCATTAAAATGAACGCGCGTTCGTCTTTTCTCTCGTTTTTATATTTCCGTTCGCTTCCGTACATGTCTGACGGAAAATCTAAAATTCGGTGACTAGCGGCATTCCCAAATTTTCACCGTTTGATCGACGCTCCCGGTGACCACATAAGGATGATTCTTGTGGAAATCTGTAGTCAAAATAGAATATATAAACAAATATAAATAAATATAAACAAATTGATGGTTACGCATTTAGTAATTTGATAAAAATCAGGAAAATGCATTGGAAAGAGAAGCGAGAGAAAGATGTACGAACCGACAGAAGTGCAGAAGTGAACGTGTGCCTCTAGGGTTTTCATCACTCGCTTGTTGCGCGTGTCCCAGACTCGCAGCGTCTTATCATCGGACGCGCTGACGATAAACTTGCCACCAGGATGGAAGACGATGCATCGCACCCAGTTGTCGTGTCCAACGAGAGTGAAGAGGCATACTCCGGCGCCGACGTCCCATACGCGGATCATCTTATCCCGTGAGCCGGAAGCGAGGAAGGGCCCCTCGTGCGCACCCTTGTTGTCCGCCCCGGCCGCCGCGTTGATTGACGCCCTCGCACTCTCCGGTGCCCATGCGATGCATTCTACCACGTGCTCGTGTTCTCTGAACTCAACCTAACGAGTGATTTTGCGTTAGGAATAAATATCAGATTGGTCTTAAGAGGAATGAACGGTGGATTACCTTTGTCTCCTTCGTTGCTACATGCCATACTCGAACAGTTTGATCATTCGAGCAGCTAGCAATGAGCTCACCACAAGGACTGACTCGCGCCATTCTCACCCATTCCCTATGTCCCGTAAGCGTCTTCACGCAATAGCCCGTCGCCACTTCCCAGATCTTAATGGTCTTATCCCTGGAGGCGCTTACTACAAAGTCACCCTGCGGCACAAACGCGACCGAATTGACGTTGTGATCGTGGCCGTGCATAGTCTTGACGCAAGCGAACGACTGATGGAAATCCCACAGCTTGATGGACATGTCCGCGCTACAGGAGGCAAGCAACTTGCCCGAGGCGTCGAATGCAATGTCCTGCACGCTGTCGGTGTGGCCTTTCAGCGTTCTTTCGAAATCACCGCTCTCAAAGTCCCATACCTTAAAGGATAAATATACTTAAAAAATCGTGTTTCTAATTTGTCGCTTTTTGGCTCTACTTGCGAGTCGTTCTCGTACCTTAATGGTAGCATCTTCGCTGGCGGATACTACGAGACTAAAACCGGATGGAAAATAACTCTATTGATTGGGGCTCTGTGTCCGGTCAGACTGAACTTCTCCGGCGGCCTCGGTATCCATTCGGATGGCGATCTCTTGCCGCGCGTCGGCGCGCCTTCTATAAACTCCTTTTCCGCTTCGGAGAGTTTAGATTCCAGTTCCATTACCTACGACACATCACATGCGAGTGTGTACAAAGAACCATTCAGTTAATGTAATAAACCGTTGAATTCTCCCGTGCACGCAATGCCTCATAAAATTTACAGTCAGAGAAAATACCTCTCAAATTGAATGGAAGAAAAAGACCTTACCTTCTTCTGCAATCGTATGACCGAAGTCCACTTTTTCTCCAGAAGGCCCCCATATTTTCTCTCCACCTCTCCTGGCATGTCGGCTTCCTTCTTGAATGCCTCCAGTGCATCTTGATAGCCATTCGTGCTAAGGTAATCCGCGATCGCCTTATTTCTAGAAACATTGATATCTTTTTATGATAAACGTAAAAAATTAGAAAAAAATTCTTTATATCTCCGCATTAATTTAGCGTAGATAAAATTCAAGAAAATTTTAGATGATAAAATTCTCGGATTTGTTTGTTTGCTTATCCCTATGCTTCCTCACCGAGTACCGCAACAAGATGAAGAAAGGATAAGAGAGAAAAGACGTATGTGTTGGATGGATAGCTTTAATCGCCGATTGTTCCGCATTGGCGTCGGCCGCAGCCGCCTGTTTATGACGCGGAGATAAAGATAAAATGCCGTACCTGTGATCCGATACAATGGAACGGGGAAGGAGGAGGCCGTGAGGCAGGTTGGATACGTGGGAAAGAGATTGAAAGTCGGGCAAACTTGTGCCAGGGTGAAAGGCCTCGCGAGTCGGCCGTTCGTCTCTATCCACCTGACTACTCCACGTGATGGCAAATTATCGCTCGCGGTGCCTCGAGATCTGTTTTGCGATTAACGCGTGGTGCGCGTAGGAGCGAGTCGGGTAAACCGAAAAAAAAAAAAAAAAAAGAAAGGAAACAATAAAGCCACTTCATCTTGGCGGAAAGCTAAACCACGTGCTCGGCTACTTTCGCTATTTATCTCCGCCGCAACGTCGTATACAACGGATTGGATTCGTTCGTTTCAATGAATGAAGAAAACATACCGCAATACCAATTCGAGATTTGCTCGAGAGCAGAGAGACAAAGCACGTAGATAAAATAAAAAATGATTCATCGATATATCTGCCTTTCGCTCGTGTACGTATTCGTGCACGCGTTGGATTAAGTGTTACAAAGACGCAAATTAATATGCATATAAAATTCTATCTCGTAACGACAGAAATTTAAATTTATAATCGCGTAGCTTAAATGCAGCGTCCTGCTGACCCGTAGAAATACTTAAGTCCGCGTGAAAAACAAACCGATAGCGTTATCTACCGTCAGCTGATACCAAGGCAAATTTGTACGAATGATAATAAACTAGCGTATTCGTGTCACGTAAATTCCAATAGCTCAGTCGAAGACTGGAAGCTTCGAAAATGCAAGATGATCCTAAGCATTATAACAAAAAGCATCGTAGAGACGTATCAGCAATTTCTCGGAAAAAAAAAATCCAATTCCTTCATGAGACTTATTCGTCGCTAATTGTATAATCAAGAATGAAACGCGCAGAGTTATATCGTGATCCGAGCGGCTAATTACGGAATAATTCGCGGAAAATTAAGAAGAGGCCAACGCGGATAATGGCAGTGGCAGATTCATAGGAGCACTTAGCGGTGTGAGAAACTCCAGGTTTGCTCACGCACGACATTCTGATGGCAGGTAGACGCGCGGTCGCAGGTACAAAAGTGGAAAAGAATGTTTCGAGCCAGGCATGTAGGCAGGTAGACGATCATTGTCTCCGTGAGTGAGGAAGGTGATTCCCGTCATCCGACACCCGCACGGCGCGTCGAGTTCACGTGAGAGCACGAGAAAACGGGAAATGTGGAGAAGACACGACGGACGGCGCTCGTGACAATGGGCCACGCATCCGAGGAAGAGAAGAGGAAAAAAAAAAAGAAGAGAGAGAGATTCTACGAGCATATAGTAACGGCGTATCGCACGTTGTTCCGTACAAGTGCGTGCTCGGGGGGAGGGGAGGGGGCGGCGAGGGGAGCAACCATGCGAAAGTCGTGGCATTCGAATTCATCGCCGACGAGCGCAAAGATTTAATTTATTCCGGAGAGCCACCTCACCGTGGATATTCGCTCCCGACGCTGATATTTGCAGACGGAATTATTACGAAAGAGCATCACTGGGAGAGATGTTTGTTCCCGCGCTGGTGTTTTCCCTTCGACCGTTCGAGGATACACGGTCATCAGGCCGCACGGTCCATTCGCGTGATGTTCTTCTCCACACGAGCTCTTACGGCCGCGCGAAGCATGAGAATGCACTTGTGTCGCTCGTTGACGAAGATTCTAGGACGTGACGCTTGGCAGTAAGAGAAGAAAGAAATATCTACGTAAATATGTTCCGCGCAAATGATGGTCCTTAGAGCATTAGGGACGACAAACAGAATGTTTTCCGGAAATTGAACGTTGACAGGCAATCCGCGCCGCTCGAGCGAATAACGAACGCGAGAAATACCTGCAGTAATCGAAATTAAACTCCGACGCGCTCCTCCGTCTCTCCTTTCATCGTTCATTCGTTGCATAAATTAAAGATAGAGTCGAGGAGATTGAGATTGCTACCGGCGATTACGACGGCGCGTTTCGAGAAGTGCTCTCGTATACAAAGATCGGAAGAAGAGACAGCGAGCGTAACGGTACAATAGAACTTTAGAGCCGCGAAATTCTTTCCCTCTTCCCTTCCTCTCTTTCGCTCCGCGGCGAGTGCACGATGAATTGTGCGAGACATGTTGTGTTTCGGGTCGCCGCAGGAATGCAGATTGAAGCGCAGATCGAAGAACGCTATCCTCGGCTCCTCAATGTGAAGATGAATACGTGAAAATGAGTAGCGGAGAGTAACTTGTTCCATCTGGCTCTTCGCGCATAAAACCGACGCTGGCATCGGCGTGAAATCACCTCGCTATTATTTATCACGTTTAAACTTCACGAGTAAGTATGCATCTATCGTCGAATTGACTCTCCTCGTCTGCAACTGCAAGATATTACATGATCAAATCAACATGATCGAATATCAATTGCAGATACAATGCAAATGTAATCAAAATATTAATTATTTTTATGCTACTATATTTTACCCTAACTCTTTTATAATAATGATAATCTTACAATACAAGCATAATGGAAATATTTTGCATTATTGATCATCCGAGAAATGTGTAATATTTAGTTTTATAATTCATTGAAGAAAATAGTAGAATTGAAAACTGGAACATTTAAAAAAATCTTATAAGAGCATCAAAGAAAAAAATTAATTTATACTGTGCGTTATCGACCCAGATGGTGATAGCTTCAATAACAATACTCCTATTAAAGACGCTAATCGCCCTTCCGTTCAACCCTCTGTCTCAGTTTACGGGGAAGCCCGGAAGTGAAAGTCACACGCTAGGGGAGACTCGTTTCGCCATCCACTTACTAAGAGTTACACGTGGGCAACCCCTGAAGAACACGGAAAGGCGTTCTTACGAGGGAAAACAACATGGATGCGCGTCGATATACCTGCTGATCGATGAGAACCCTCTCCCTCAGGGGTGGAGGAGTCGGTTCTCATCCCCTTCCTCGTTTCGTTCCGAGGGTTCCGACTCATTCTGCGCGAGCTATCGATCCCGCAGTTTGCGCGTGCCCGACAGACACCCTCACCACTCGTCTCCGCACGTTCCTCGTCATCCCTCCGAGACCGACCGATCGAGGAGCGATTTTGCGTCATAGGAATTAGCCGGCATAGATCGAGGATACGATCGATGCCGGCGGTGTTCCCGTTTAACGTCGCGTTGCCGTGTTACATGCGGGTCGCTCGCAGACGAAGTACGAAACGAAACTAGCGAATTAAATATAAACACCTCGCTTAAATATTCCAAGAGTAGTCCGAATCTCTGTTCAAATCCGAACACAAGATTTTCACGGAATTTCCTCCGTGAGAAAGAGGAAAAAAGAGAAGACACACACACACACACACACACACACACACACACACACACACACACAACAAATATATATACATATATA